AGTAAAGGGAGGAGAGTCTGCTGGGCTTGGTGGAACCATGGTCTTGATCAGATCAACAATGACTCTCCACACTGTCCTTGGAGCCCTGGGACAGGATTGGTGCTGACTGTATTGGACTAAAGCCTTGACTCTGCTGGGGGATGTTCAATGCACCCTCTCTTCATGGCTTCATTCATGCTCCCATCTTGACCTCTCTGACACTGGCTCCTCTGCCCACCCATGGCCCCTCATACACCCAGATCATAGTTCACATTCGTCTTCCTATGGCCTTAATTGACAGAAGACCTAGGCCAGTGACTTCTTGGTCCTGACTTCAAGTCTGGGTCAAAAGCCCTGATGAATTCTGAATTGTTTGATCAAAGGATAGGAATGCCCAGAAGCTCAATCCAAATATTGGACACCCTGCACATTACCAAATAATGGAGTCTCTACACATACTAGAAGAAAAAAGACAGGAAGAGCTGGACCATGCAATCAAGAAGCACAAGGATAATCTTGAGGTCAGTGGTGCCCTTGACTCTCCAGTCCAGGGGCTGAGGGCCACACCAACCTCCAGGAAGATGGTGCCAATGGTCAGCAACAGCCGGTGCAGAGCATGGCCCTTGGTTGGCATGTGGGCCAGAGCAGGCATGAAAGTGGGTGGGTTTTGTAGGTGAAATGTCATTCCTGGGTGTTTCACTTTGCATTTCTTTGGTTTCTGAATTAGTTATTTATAAAATTAGTAACAGTAATTTTTTTTCATGATTCACGATCCATGTCTGGTTTTATTTCTTCTTCAGTGAATTGTCTACATGTGTCTCAGTCATTTCTGAATCATTTCTTATCCTCAAGCCCAAGCACCTCTTGAGGGAAGCCTTCTTGCTCAGACACCAGTTAACTCAGACACAGTGGACACAGTGGCTTTAGGCTTGGCTCAGCAGCAGGATCCCCAAGGCTCCCTAGGTCCTCCTGCCGAGCCAGCCAACCCTTCCTCAGCTGCCTTGGAGGGAAGTTCTTCTCCCTGCAGCTCTGCGCTCACCATGTTTCCTCCAGGAAGTCACCAGGAGTTGTGGCCACTTTTTCATAATGAGCTTGGCCTCCTTCACCGAGAAGTTCCTGCTGCAGCTGGACGAACTGATCACCATCGATGACATCCAGGTTGCAAGTAAGGGGCACCAACCTTGCATCTCCAGCCCTGGGGAGGGGGAGGGCTAGGCTGATGGGCACTGGGAAAGCTGCCCTCCCAGCTCCACCAAGGTGAAAATTTTCTCCATCAAGGGAATGGTTTGATTTTGTGTGTTCCTTTGTCTTCATTCAAAATAAACTTTTGACTAAAAAGGCCAAATGCCAGATGGATCAAAGAATATATGTTAAAAATGAAACCCTAATAGGGAGTATTTTCATACTTTGGGGGTTAGGGACACCTTTTCTAAGCACAGTATGAGAACCAGAAGCCACGAAGAAAGCAGCTGGCCCTTCTCTCATGCCAAAACCAAAACAGAAAAGTGTCAAATAGGGAAAGATAAACCTCAAACTGGAAAACTAGTCCTCACAACCTATGAGTCAGGGAATGGGTAACTACCCACGTGGTACAAAGAACTCTCACAGGTCACATTTTTTAAAGAAGCCAAGAAACAAACACACGCATTTCCAAAGAGAAGCATTTCCTATGACCAGTGACAGTAAAAGGCGTGCCACCTCACTGATGATGAAGAATGCAAACATGGACATTACTGAGATAGGTTTCTTACCAACAGGCTGCCAGAGGCTTAGCCAGCCCAGGGAGGGTGGTCGGAAGCAGAGGCACCACAGGGCCCTTAGTAGGAGCATTCGTTGATAACTGATCTCTTAAAGAACTCTTGTTACTTCCTGCCAAATCTTGCATGTGCATGCCTTTGACCTAGCGTTCCAATTCTAGGAATTTTCCTGACAAAAATATTTCACACTTGTCCTAAGACACACATTCAAGAACATTCATCACAGCGCTCTTCAGACGGCAAAACAATTGGAAACAGCACTAGTGTCCATACATAGGGGATTGGAGGTGGGTGACGCTCTCTGCGAGGCTGTGACGGTGGGGTAGTAGGTCTGCACGTGCTAACGCCACAGGGCCCACAGGAGGACCTTTCTGGGATAAAATGAGGGACCAGGATATGCATATGAGTCCATGTTTGAAAAACATACATGATATCAACATGCATACTCTCAGGTATTTAAATAAATCTGTGTAAGAGAGACACAGAGAGTGAGAGACAGAGCCTGGGAGCTGGGCACAGTACTGCTGCTGAGGCTCTGCAGGGTGGGGCAGTGGGAAGCTCCTAACGTCTCTTTTAGTCCCCACGCTAGGTGACGATGTTTAAACTTTTTTTAATGTACATATTACTTTTATAATGATAAGATTACAATCATGTACTCAAATGTTATCCATTTATTGATAGTCTATACTTTTTAAATCCATTCTTTTTCTTTTTATTTATTTGTTTGTTTGTTTGTTTTGGTACCAGGGGCCCTCGACCACTGAGCCCCATCCCCAGCCCTATTCTGAATTTTATTTAGAGACAGGGTCTCACTGAGTTGCTCAGGGCCTCACTAAGTTGCTGGGGCTGGCTTTGAACTTGCAATCCTCTTGCCTCAGCCTTGAAAGCCACTGGAATTATAGGCTTTGCACCCCTCACCCAACTTTCTATTTTTAAAAATTATTACAGAGACAATAAGTGTTCTCTGCAGTAAAGTTAGAAATTCCATAAAAATTAAGAAGCAAGTGAAGAAATCAGGGCCCTTTGCCCTTGCTGTCCACCCTTCCAGGTCCCTCCTCCATGGGGGTGGGGATGGGTAGAGGGCCTATGAGATGTCCTGACTGAGTCCCTTCAGGTGGACCTTGGCCAGGCAATCCCTGCTTTTCTGCTTCAGCATGTTGGGTTGCTGCGCACTGTGATTTACTAAGCATCATCATGGACTAATTCATCCGCTGCTGTTGAACCTGCAATTTTTCATTGCTGCAATTATTCTAAAGAAAACTCCTGTATAGTGGCAGGACTCTGATGGAGTGACAGACTCTTGGCTTACATTTTCTGGGCCAAAATATATACAGCATTTTTGAGGTGCAGGCCACTTTTCAATATCAAAGGTGAGCCTCACCGGGGAAGGCAAGGACCCACAGAGACACTGAGGTTGAAGCCCCATGGAGAACAGGCAGATGAGCTGGCAGCAGACCCCCTAGTGGCACCTTGCACAGTACCACAGAGCTGGACAAAAACCCTGCACCAGGCCCCCAGGAGGTGCTTGCCTGCTCTTATCTAAGCGTTTTGACTTGGGTGGCCAGGTATAGACCTGTTACCATGGCAGATGAAGGTGCAGGTTAAAGAGGTGCCCACCTGCCAGCACACTCTCTCTCCACTGCCCACGTCCCCACCCCCACCTCCATACACACAGCCTTCTCTCCCTGTCAAGAATGCACATCCAGGGGCTGGAGATTTAGCTCAGTGGTAAAATGCTTGCCTTGCATGTATGAGGCCCTGGGTTCAATCCCCAGCACAAAAAAAAAAAAAAAAAAAAAAAAAAGAATGCACATCCAAAATGAGCCAAACATTTAATGGACAACCTTGAATGTGTTCTTTCTGGGGGTAGTGCTTAGTTCAGAGCTCATATGAGCTAGCATAAGTCAAAGAAGGCATTGCAAAGCATATTTTGGAACTCTTGGAAGCTGCAGGACAGTCAGAGCATCCAACTTAGGGATTTGGAGGTGAAACTGTCCAAACAGCTCCCCAGACTCCTCTTGCAATGACCCCTGCCACTGCCACTCTACTCAGCTGCATATCTGGTGCATTTAGTTTCTCTGTTTAGGCGGCTCTGCCTGTCACTCCAAGTGGGGAAGTAGAGAGTGAGCCCTACTATCTCTAAATATCGAGGGAGGAGACCCCTTGGTCTCATGCTGTTGGAGAGCCAATGGTTAGTAACCCTTCTCTTTCCTGCCAGGGACTGAGCCCTGCAAGCAGAAAACATCAATCCTCATCCGGAGGAAACTGGCCAGGATGTCCTTGGAGGAAGAGAGTGAGAAGCCCCTGATTGAACGAGGGAGCAGGTGAGAGCCCAGGGCAGCAGGTGGCACCATAAATGGCTGAATCTGCTGGGAGCTGGGCAGCGGAGTGATTAGGGGCACCAGCTGGGAACTTGGACAGACCTGCTAACCTTGGAAAGGCATTGTGTTCTGAACCTCATTCCTCTGTGAAATGAGCATGGCAGTATACCTCATGTGGCTTCATGAAGAGAAAATGAGACTGTTTGGTAGGAGTTCAAAGACACCAAAATGGCGGAGGCAGGGTACAAGAAAAAAACTGCTGGAGGACAAGACAGGGAGATGAGTCATTGTGTCCCTGTTTAGAGTGTCCCATTACTATGATGACTCCCACCACAGGCTTGGTATGGGAGCAAATAGGGTGAGGTCTTCAATCAGGTTCATATAGGGCAGAGACTGCCTCACAGCTCAGCATATAAGACACATATTTCCAGACATGGGGCCTTGAGTCTGCCTCTCTCTCTCTCTCTCTCTCTCTTCTCTCTCTCAGCCCACTCCAGTCTACCTTACGGACCTGGGCCCCAGTTGGACACCCCAACGATAATATGATGAAGTTGTCCATGAGTGCCCATGACACATACTGAGAGTTCAACAGCCACTAAAGTATCCCACAGAGGGAGGCCTGCCCCAGGGGCAGGGACATTCCCAGGTTGCTGCTGGCACCATGAACCACTCCAGCTGACTGTTGTGTGTGACATGAGCTGTTAAAGTGCCCGTCCCCTTTGCCCTGAGAACATGTCTCTGTGAAAGCAAAGAGCTGTGTTCTCAGCAGTGGCCTTTACAGCATAATAAGTGGGCCAGGAACCGCAGACGACCACCTGGCTGGCATACTGAGGAGGAATCTGAGGCCCAAGAAAGGGGAGTCACTGGAGATGTAGCATTCCTTCCCCACACAGGACCCAAGACCACACAGAACTGAAACAGAGAACTTAAAAGAAGCACAATGTGAAATCCTCAGTCAGACTTTTCTTTTTCTTTTAATTCAGATATTTAAAACCATGATAGTTGTTGAACTCTTGCAACAGGGGTGGCGGCTAGGCTGGGAATGGTGAAGCCAAGTACTTTTGTTTGTAGGAAGTGGCCAGGAATCAAACCCACCGAAGTCACCATCCAAACCAAGATTCTTGATCGGAAAACATCCTCCATAACCACCTCTAAGACCACCCTGGGCCATCTGGCAGCCGTGGAAGCCCGAGATGCTGTGTACCTGGTGAGATGGGATGGGGTAGCTGTGTCCCAGGGAGCATGGTGCAGCTTAGTTTGGCTGCCTTGGAAAGGAGGGAATTCCCACCCTCAGGACACCCCAACATTTGGTCTGTGGAGTCAACAACCCACATCAGCAATGCCAGAGCCACAGATCCCAATACCCATCAATATCCTTTGGCACATGACATGAGGGTCATGTCTAGTCTCAGTCCTAGCAGTGGTCTGAGGTGTAAGCCCTGGTGCTGTGGGACCCCACCACAGGACCTGTCACCCACACTGGGTGTGAGAAAGACTGCAGACGGACAGTAGAATCAGCTAGGGAACATGGCAGACAGGCACAGAGGTGACACGAGACCGTGGATCTGCAGTGGGGCATGGTAGCAACAGCACTCACAGCCACGGCTACCTTCTGTTCTTGGCATGAGGCATCTGACTGAATCCTCCTGGGAACCCATGAGGGTTAGTGTCCCCATCTCACTAAAAAGGACATTGATGCCTTAAAAGCACTTGCCCTTCTGTGCCACCGAGTGGCAGAGTCAGGATTTGAACCCAGTGCCTGTTAGACCCCTGTGGAGCTGGCCTGATGAGAAGCTGCTCCCAGAGCCCGGCTGCCATGCAAGCCCCAGACAGAGCAATGGCTGTGCCTGCTGAGTTCAGCGAGGGCTGGAGACCCAGAGGGCTCAGCCTCCTGAGGAAGCCAGGACCCCTGTGCTCCAGGGAGGCTCCCTTGCAGGTCAGAGTTTAGTAGGGTGCAGGGCCCAGAGCCAGAAAGACAGGTGTCCTAGTCCATGTTCCGCCCCTTCCTAGCTGAGTGACACCAGCCAAGTCCAGCCTCAGTCTTCTCATCTGTAAAACCAGGAAGACAATTGGACGTATCTGATGAGAGCTCTTTAGGAGCTGCTTGTCACAGGTGACAGTGTTGTCCCAGGGCTGGGAGTGCAGAATCCTCTCTCATGTGGCCACTCCTGCTGCTTTTTCCCCAGAAATATTTAGCATTGTTTGAGGCGGAGCTGAAAAGGATCCAGAATGACCACAACGTCCAGGTGGAGGAGGCCCAGCGCTGGAAGGAGAGCTGGAAGTGCTCCCTGCAAACCATCCACAGCCTCTACACCTGACACCCTCCCCCACCCCAAATAAAGCTTTATTCTGTGCTGGGCCGTGGCTACAGGAGTCAGTCACTTAAAATAGACACTAAGACTGTGAAGGAAATGACATCCAAAAGCATGCCTGGCACTTCTTTTCATTTCTCCTGAAAGGAGCTCTGCAAAGACAGGAACTAGCAGCCAGGGCATAAGGTATCAGGGGCCTGCCCGGCCAGGATTGCTGGAGAACACCAAATTCTGCCCCCCAGGTCAGGCCTTGAGGGGCACCTGCATGGGCCTACAGCCAGAGGAAAAAAAAATGAAATGAGAATTCAGAGCTCAGGATAAACATCTGGAGAGATGTGCTCCACCCAGCACTCACCTTCTCATCCTGCCAACTGTGGTCTTGGGCCATTGTACGTGACAGGCCTCCCAGGCCTGACAACCTCCTTCTGCGCAGGAAGGGCCCAGTCCTCATCCCCTGCCTCCCCCTGCCTACCAACCAACTTGCCCCTTGCAACCCACCAAGCGCAGTAAGAGGGAAGGGTATGGGGGTGCCCAGGTGAAATCACAGTTGTGGCCTGGATGGGCCTGTCCTGGGCTGCCCTATGTGGCCTTGAGGAACCTCTTGCCAAAGGAGTGAACCCTAAGCCAATGTTCTGCAGCAGTGGAAAAGACTCTCAATCTGGACTTTCCTGGGGCCAGAGTCTTGGAAAATGGAATATAACAGGAAAATCTCTCTCTCTCTTAAGGGTCTCTGCCTGAGTCAGCTGCATAGAGATCTGTCTCGAGACTGTGTGTTTCTGGTTGCCAGTGTTCTAAGTTCTGTTGGAGTCTATCACCAAGGAAGTGAGGTGACTTCAAGGTTCCATTATGTGGGCCCCTTCCTTCAATATGACCTACTCAAAGGCTTATCTGACTTTAAGGTGACAGACTCCTGGGTCAGTTTCTGGAATATATACATTTTGACTGCTTACCCTCCTCCCCTGTGTCATCTCCTTAATGGGTCCATTTCACCACCACCGGGAGGATCTGCATGCACCCGAGGCCCCAGGGCTGAGCAGACAGAATTGGGTTTAAAACCTCTTTTTTCTTATGGGTTCATTGCCTCTCAGAGCCTCCCCAGTTTCCTAACCTGCACAGTGGGGATCATAGGAGCATCTGCTGCCTAGGGACATCATCAGGTATGTATAATACTTATAAAACCAAATGTGCAAACTTACAAATGGAAAAATTATAAGAATGGGTGGTGCACAGCGAGCAATCCAACTCAAAACCCGCCTGGGTTCTGCCAGTGTAATACTTGAGGCTACTTCCCCTCTGGGCATCACTTTCCATTCTGTGACATGAGGGGATAGAAAGGAAAGAAAATTCACATACTGTCCAATCAGACCATATGGCTCATCCCAGCCTGCATGGCGGGCAATTTCCACAACAGCTTATAATGCTCCCGCCTCCTGGTGTACCTCCATGTGTAACCACTAAGATGTTTGTGGCTCACTTCTGACAGATACAACATGGCAAAAAGTGATGGGATCCCACTCCTGTCTTGGTGAGCTTGGGCTGCTAGGTCAAGGTGCTGACATGGACTGGTTCTGATGAGGTCCCTCTTCTGGGTTGCAGACTGCCAACTTCTCCCTGAGTCTTCAGGTAGCAGAAAGAGAACAGAGCTCTCTGGAGTCCCTTTAAAAAGGTTGTGATTCACGAGGGCTCTATATCATAACTTAATTACCTCCTACAGGCCCCACCCAGCTCTTAATCCAGCGCCTTGGGGGTTAGGATTTCAATGTATGACCCTTGGGGGTGACATAAACAGTCTACTGCAACTTCCAAGATTTAATTACACACACACACACACACACACACACACACACACACACAGCTGCTGTTCCCTTGTACTTGCAACGCCCTATGTTCCTTTCTGCCTCTCCCCCTCTCACCTTCACCTACTCCCCCTCATCCCCTCCCTCCCCCCTTGTTTTTGCTTTGGCATTTTTTCTACTGAATTAATAAAAGGAAAGACTCCACCCTTGTGCTTTGTTTTTGATCAGCTTAGACTCTGGAGATGATACTTTGGAGGTGGAGGTTGGATCTGAGGCAGGAGAACATCCAGAATGACCTCAATGATTCTTCTTTCTCTGGCTCCAGTATGTCTCCAGTAAAAACCCAGGGGCACCAATAACACAGGATGCTTCACGCCCTCTGGTGGTTAGCATGAGCACTGCAGTCCCAGGCAGGAACACTGGGAGACAGTGCTCCTTCAGCTTCAGGGACAAAGGAGCTGTCTGAAGACTCCCAGGGCAGTGTGAGGGGCCTTGGAAGCCTCCCTTGTCCCCTCTTTGCCTACTCCCCTGATGTGTCCCATTCACGCATGAGGCATCCATACCTCCACTAGAACAATGATACCCCCACTTCTAAGTGGGATACCTCAAGGATCCAAAACGGACAGCTTTTATCCCTGAACCCAAGACTCAAGATCCAATGCTCTGGCATCTTCTTCCCTGTAGCAAATCTTCATCCATCCAAACTCCCAGGCCTCTTCTCTGAAGGACCTCCAAGGAGGGAAAAGCATTTTCCCAGGATCTGAGAACACGGTTGGCCAATGATGGAGAACTGGGGTGAACAGACACTTTCTGGGCATATGAAACACTTGGCCTTGCCCACTCCCACCATACCAACTTAACAGGAGGAAATGGGCTCTCTCGCCTGCAGCCCCATCCACGTTGTTGAGGTGGACTCATCCTACTTACAGCAGTCCAGAGCAATACACTGCAGGACCCCAGTGCTATCTTCTCAAGAGTGTCTGAGGACCTTAAAGGACCATAGGTTCCCTCTTTCCCATGCTCTGGGCCCCCAGGAATGTTGCTAGGAGACTGGATGCCACAGCCCTATTAGCAGAGTTGCTTCCAACCTCCTTCTTTCCTCATGGGAGAGGGTCGAGCACTGGCCTATGAAGCAGAGCCTTCTCTTATTGCCTGGACTCTGCGCATCTCCAATGGTGGAGGAAAGTCCCTGGCTCTTTCTGGAATTCGGTTTTCCAAATGTATAGTGAAGGGCTGGATGTGAAACCGCATGAGTGTGTGCTTGGTGAGGATTGGTGTTGGGCTCCATCAACAAGGAAGCGGTATTGGGTGAGATGCCCCAGGTGCACCTGGGTGCAGAAGTCTCTCTAACTCAGGCAGGTGCTGGGGGTCACCACTAGTAACATCCAGGCCTAGAGTCCATGGCCAGTCACACACAAGGGGCTTTGTTTCTGCATCAAGAAGAGAAGTGAGTTCCTGTCTCACCACACCTAGAAGCTCAATACCGAAAAGATCCACAGACAAGGTTGATCTCATGTAGCCGGCTCCACACTCCACACCTGCTGGATCCTGGGTCACAAGTTCACCCCTGGAGCCAGGAAGTGATGTAGGTCTCACTTAAGCCCTAGGACAGAGGGTGAGGAAGTAGTAGTTCCCCTGCAAAAATCTGAGGAGCTTTTCCCAATAGAAGAGGACTTGATGTTGGCCAGGCACCAGCACCAATCTCAGAATCATCTCCACATCTGCCTCTGCCACTGTATCCCAGAGAAAGGACCAGTCTTACCCAGGATTCCCTAGTGGCCAACTTAGGCTTAGGTTAGTACTAGATATGGTTACCCATCAGTCTTGTGTCACATGACAATGGGGACTGTTCTAAGGAATGTGTTAGGTGATTCCATCATTGTGTGACCATCATAGAGAACACTTAGACAAACCTAGATGGTATAGGTTACTTGCTTGATGTGGCGGATGATTCCTCCTCCTCCTCCCCTTCCTCCTCCTCCTCCTCCTCCTCCTCCTTCTTCTTCTTCTTCTTCTTTGCTTGTAGTTATACATGACAATAGAATGTATTTTGGCAAATTATATATATACATAGATTATAACTTATTCTATTGAGGATCTTTTTCTCATGGTTATACATGAAATTACCCTGGTCATGCATTCAAAGACAAGGCCAGGAAAGTTATGTTCAATTAATTCTACTATCCTTCCTATTCCCTACCCCTTCCCTCCCCTTCATTCCCCTTTGTCTAATGCAATGGATTTCTATTCTTCCTCTCCTCACCCTCCCTTGTTTTGGGTTAGCATCCACATATCTGAGAGAACATTCAGTCTTTGGTTTTTGGGGACTGGCTTATTTCACATAGCATGATATTCTTCAGCTCCATCCATTTATCGGTAAAGGCCATTATTTCATTCTTCTTTAAGGCTGAGAAATATTATGTTGTGTATATATACAACCACATTTTCTTTATCTATTCATCTGTTGAAGGGCACATAGTTTTGTTCCATAGCTCCATACTGTTTTTCAGAGCGTTTGCACTAATTTGCAGCCCCACCAACAATGTATGAGAGTACCTTTCTTGCCGCATCTTCACCAACATTTATTGTTACTTGTATTCTTTATAATTGCCATTCTGACTAGAGTAAGATGTAATCTCAGTATAGTTTTAATTTGCATTTTTCTAATGGCTAGAGATGTGGAACATTTTTTCATATATTTTTTGACCATTTGTATTTCTTCCTCTGTGAAGTGTCTGTTCAGTTCCTTTTCCCTTTTATTGATTGAGTTGTTTGTTTTTCTGATATTAAGTTTTTGAGTTTTTGTATAACCTGGAGATTAATGCCCTATTTGAGGTACAGGTGGTAAAATTTTTTCTCCCATTCTGTAGGATCACTGTTCACATTCTTGTTGTTTCCTTTGCTATGAAGAATATTTTCAGTTTGATATCATTCCCATTTACTGAAGAGTTGAATTCAAATTACCCTATTTGCCAATGACATGATTTTATATTTAGAAGAACCAAAAACCTCTACTAGAAAACTTCTAGAACTTATAAATGAATTCAACAAAGTAGCAGGATATAAAATTAACACAAATTAATCAATTGCATTTTTTTATACATCGATGATATATCAGCTGAAAGAGAAATCAGGAAAACTATCCCCTTTACAATAGCCTCAAAAAAAATACTTGGGAATCAATCTGACAAAGACCTCTACAATGAAAACTACAGAATACTAAAGAAAGAAATTGAATAAGGCCTCAGAAAATGGTAAGATCTCCCATGTTCTTGGATAGGCAGAATTAATATTATCAAAATACTACCAAAAGCACTATACAGAATTGATGAAATTCACATTAAAATTCCAATGACATTCTTCATAGAAATAGAAAAAAGCAAACGTGAAATTCATTTGGAAAAAAATAAGAGGCCCAGAATAGCCAAAGCAATCCTCAATGAGAAAAGTGATGTAGGAAGCATCCCAATGCTAGACCTTAAATCATACGCCAGAGAATAGTAACAAAAACATGGCATTGGCACCAAAACAGACATGAAGACCAATGGAACAGAATAGAAGACAGAGACACCCACATAAACACAGTTATTTCATACTAGACAAAGGTGCCATAAACACACATTGGAAAAAAGGTAGCTTCTTCAACAAATGGTACTGGGAAGACTGGAAATCCATATATAAGAGGATGAAATTGAACTCTTATCTCTCACCCTACAAAAAAATCAAAGTGGATCAAAGACCTAAGCATTAGACCAGATACCTTGTGCTTACTAGAAAAAAAAAAAAGGCCCAAATCTCCATCATGTTGGCTTAGGAACCACCTTCTCAATAAGACTCTTTGACGTAGCTTCTTGATGCAACCAAGAGATGAAGTAAACACAGGACGAATGAGCTGCTGTCTGTAACACTGCACACGGTTTTACGGTAAGCTTTTTTTCATGAGTTGAAGGAGTACAGTCTAAAATAATGATACAAAGGTGGGACAGTAAATATATAAATTAGTAACCGCCACTGATTATCAACATCAAGGATGAGGTACCGTACATGATTATATTGCTATACTTTTTGTAGGACGGGCAATGCAGGTTTGTTTATGCTACAATCACCACAAACATGGGGGTAATCTCTGTTGCACTAGGACATTACAATGCCTATGACATCACTAGATGATAGGAATATTTTTTTTTTTGAGAGAGAGAGAGAGAGAGAGAATTTTTTAAGTATTTATTTTTTAGTTTTCAGTGGACACAACATCTTTATTTTATTTTTATGTAGTGCTGAAGATCGAACCCAGCGCCCCGTGCATGC